GTGCTGGTACCATCCCATGGGGCCGGCTCCACCCCCTCCCACCTCCCCACAACTTGACACCAGCACATGTGCCCGGTACCACACGGGTACATTTCCAGGAGTTTCTTGTTCATTTTTCTATCATTTTACATTCGACATCTGATAAACCCTGTAGGCAGTGGTTATGTCTAATTCTGCGGGCTGCTGTCCTGCCAGCTTTGTGGGCGCCCGCCATCCCGAGTCGTGGGTGCAGTGACTGAGCTCTCGCTCCCTGGAACTGCATCAGAGGGAATTCTCCGAAGCCTGGGTTTCACGTGGCTTTCTCTAGAGAGCAGGTCTGCGTGCTTCTGCTAGGCACCCTGGGTGAGAAGTAATCAAGACCACTTGAGGTTTTGCTGCTGTTTTCAGATGGGACAGGGGTGGGGGGCAGGTGCATGAAGGCACAGGCCTGGGTGAGGAGGGCTGTGTGGGCACCAATGCCCGCTCACCCGGTCCTCTTCGCGGAAGTGTCACTGCTCAATCATGAGCCCTTGTCTGCAAGGGGGGTTATTTCCATCCACCTCACACTGAGGATGCAGCTCCGCAAGATCCCCACACTGGGCGGGTGGCTTCTGTCCTCTGAGACCCTTGCTGCTGTAAATGGAACCTCAGTGTAGCAAACCTGGACGTCATTTTTGACTTGTAACTGGTTTGTTGAACAAACGTGGCTCGTGATGGCATCAAAACACACCTTTCAGGACTTGTCAGAGTGAATGACAGGGACCCCATCACTTCGTACAGCTTTTTCTTCCCAGTCCTGAGTAAAAGACTACCATGTTTGATTAAAGTTTTAAATACTTGGCTAAGAAGTCAGTATTTCCAGTCCTAAGGACTGGCCAAACTCACAGCATGTTGGCCTAGCTTGAGGCCGCCTCAGCAAGGAGCCTGCTGTGTGTCCCTGCCCAAGTCAGGGCAGGAGGGGAAGGGATACAGGGAGAGAACACAATTAGTGAAAAATGGTCTGCACACAGGTGGCCTCACTCTGACCCTCTCTCTCATGAACAGCTGTCTTATCTTCTTCTGGGGTTACTGCAGCTTGAACCCCCCCCCCCCACCTGGTCTGCATGCCCTTCCAGGACACAGGCCTCTGGATTTGGAAGTCACTTAGAATTCTTGGTGCCAGCCCTGGACCTGATGCTGCTCGCTTCTGCTCCACGCAGTGGCTCAGAGACCCTCAAACTTGCCCTTTCCCACGTGGTGGCACCTGATCTGTTGGAACCCTCCCTGCATCCTTCTGCCCACAGGCCCTGTGAATAAAGGTCCACTTAGCAGCTCATCCCATGCCTCCCAGAACAGAAACCATCCCTGGTCTCTGGGACTCAGCTCTGATCTGCTGCATCCCCAGCAAATCACAGCTGTCAAGGTGCAGCTCGAAGCAAAGGAGGTGGCCTCCTGCCTCCCTGGTCCTTTGGGTGGAGGGAAAGGAGGCTGTGATGGTAGAGATTTTGCCAAAGTTATCTTCCGCCCAAAGCCTTCCTCTCCTTCCTATCCAGAGCATGTTCTGTTCTCAAAGACGAGGGAACTCCAGGGTGGACCAGACCTTAGTTATTATTTCTGAAATTCTGAAATTGTATACCTAAGGTGTCTCGGGGACTCGGTAGAGCTTTAATTTTCATTAATCAATCATGAAACCCTGTTTGTTCTAAATTCTCAATAACTCTGCTTTTCTACAAGCTAGGACCCCACCTCCTCTGTTTGCCCAGGAAATGTCTCCTTATCCCTAGGGCTCACCCCAAATGCCACCTCCTCCTTGGTTTCTCCAGCTAGGACTGACTTCTCATTTATCTCCATCCGCGTTGTATTTCCTTACATGTTGCTTTCATGCTGCATAAAAACTGCATCATGTTTGTTTATCTGCTTATTCTCTCTTTGTGGGACTAGGAACTTCTGCGGGTCAGGAGCCATGCTGCAGTCATTTCTGTATCCCTAGGGCTGAAAACAGCCCCAGGCACCCAGATTCGTGATTACCCGTGGAACCAGGGTGAATGCACACAGCCAGTCCGTGCTCTCTTGCAGGCAGCAGTAGCACAGAATGAAGTGTCAGGCTTCCCGTGTTTAAGGCAGGGGGGACTTAAAGTCCCCAGAAGAGCTTTGTCTTCTCTCCAAGCTTCCTCCTCCCTACCATTAGGGCACTAGCCTTAATTAAGCTCACCCTTTGCCCCCAGTATTTGGGGAGGATCATTTAGGCCCAGGTTAAAAATGGCCCTGATTCCTACCTACTACAGATGTGGTGGTCTGGAGGTAAGCATCATATAAGCACATGAAGTGGTAGTAAATGATTTTTAGAGATTTTGATATACTTACTTTACCAGGTTAAAGATAAAGGCAAACAGAAATGTTCTAGCAATGAAATTACTTCTGTAATTGAAAATATGAAAGCTTTTTTTTTTCCTCTTTTGAGACATCCAAGTTCAATAGAAGAACAGTTTGGCTGCACTCAAATGTGGGGAGATCATGAGTACCCCGTAAGACATTTCCTTTCCAATTCTGTTACACCGGGTCAAAATGCTCTTGTGGCAAATCACAAGCGTTGATTTAGGCCTGCCCGAGGCTTTGTCCTTAGCAGGATGCCCCTGAGCTGGCACAGTTGGCATACTGCCCTCCTGTCTCTGATCTGTTACACAGCTCCCCACAGTGAAGCTTGTTAGAACCAGCCCCTTCCTCATCCCGGGGGCTGGTGACCAGCCCCAGGTCCGTGATCCATCAGCAGCTTTCCACCAGAGCCGCTATGTGGCATAGCCCTGGCCTATCTGCATTTGTTCAGGGCCAACATGCCTCAAGCGGTGGCCAGGGAGAAGGGGAAGATTAGGGGGTAAGAAGTTGTTTTGCACAGTAGGGATAGTCACCCTCCAGCAGAACTCTTGAGGGAAGCGGGAACCAGTTTTGACGTGCATGTTTTCATCTTCGAGATGCACAATCGGAACACAGAACACACGAGGTGAGTGTGCTCACACTTGCCAAGCAAGGGAGTGGCAGCACCAGCACCGGCTCTAAACTCGGTGCTCATCACTACTGAGCCTGTGGCATCCAGTCAACCCCAGAGAGCTTATGTGACCTCACCTCCTGACCCAGATGGTGAAAATTACCAGTTCTTATTTGGGGCATCCACCTTCCCTCCTCACTTTAGCAAAGATAGCCCTTTACAGGTATTCATGCCCTTCGGCTTAGCCAAGGGGGTGACAGGACACTTGGGGCTTTTCCACCATCTACCTGGTGAAAGAGCAGTATTTGTCACACAGTACTGTATGCATGAATGTTTCTGAACTTTTCAGGGGATGGTGGCAGGATGCTACTGACATTATTTGACCCTAATTTAAGCATTGACTCAACACGCGCTTGTCGCACAAGAGTAAAACAGAAAGGGCTGCAGGGAGCTCTGAGCTCAAAGATCTGGAACTGTGTATAGCCCTCTGGGGAGCATTTCTAGAAAAAAAAAAAAAAGTGTGTTCCCCTTTAAGGCCAATCCCCTGCAGCCCCACAGCCAGCAGCTGGCCTGGGGAGCCCTGCCTCAGGACTCGGTCTGCCGGGCCTCCTAAAGTCATCCGTTTGGATAATTTTCTATATATGGAGTCGGAGGTCATGGAGAACGGATGTGTCTTTGTTTTCCAAGCGCTGCCCAGGGAGGTTTCCCCAGACCGCGTGGGGACCCGTTCATCCCGGGGGAGTGAGGGAGGGGCCCGCAGGTCAGGGCGCGGGGATGCGGGGATGCGGGGATGCGGGGCGCGGGATGCGCGGTCGCGGCGGGGGCCGGGAGAGGTGCGGCGCGCACTGCCGGGGCTCACGGAGTGCCCGGGTTTTGTTTCATTTTCCCAAAATGTTCGCTAATGAACAAAAGTTTTGTTGGGCACGGAAGACCATTGTGCCAACGTGTGCATGTGGCCGCTTTCAGGAAAGAAACCAGAACGATACCCCCGAGCTAGACCACAGCGCAGCGGGGCGGCGGAGCGGAACCGGGGGCAGGCGCCCGAGCCGCGGGGCCCCGCACCGCCCGCGGCCAGACGGCGGGGCCGAGCAGCGGCGCGCGGGGCTCCCGGCCTCCGCGGGGCTCCTCAGGCCTGCGCCGCCCCGGGCGCCCCCTGGGGGTGTGGGCGGGGGGGCGGGGAGCGCGCTGGGAGTCGGTGGGATGGGGGCGGGGAGGGAGGACCGCCTGGGGCGGTGGGACGGTGGCGAGGACCGGTGGTAGGGGCGGGGGCCAGGCCAGGGGCGGGGCGGGGTCCTCTCTGGGCGGGAGGAGGAGAGGGAGGAGGAGGAGGAGAAGGAGGGAGCATCTGGGTTGTGCGGTTGCTGATTGGCCGCGGGGGCGGGGCGGGGCGGGGCTGGTCCTCGCGGGGAGGCGCAGCAGCAGCACCAGCAGGGGGAGGAGGAGGAGGAGGGGGGGGGAAGAGCATCTGATTGGCGGCAGTGGCTGTAGGTGGGACAGGGAGGGGCGGGGCGGGGCTGAGCGGGCCGAGCGGGTCCTCGCGGGGCGGCCGCAGCAGCAGCATCAGCAGGAGGAGGAGGAGGAGGAGGAGGAAGAGGAGGAGGAGGAGGAGGGAGCTTCTGATTGGCGGCCGCGGCTGTGGGCGGGGCGGGGCGGGGCTGCCTGGGCCGGCCCTAGCGGGGCGGCGGCCGCAGCAGCAACAGCAGGAGGAGAAGGAGGAGTGGGGGGAGAGGAGGAGGAGGAGGAGGAGGAGGAGGAGGAGGGAGCATCTGGGGCGGCGGGCACTGATTGGTGCTACTGGCTGGAGGCGGGGCGGGGCTGCCCGGGGCTGGTCCTCGCAGCCCGGCAGTGGCCGCAGCAGCAGCAAGAGAAGGAGAAGGAGGAGGAGAAGGAGGAGGGCGAGGAGGGGAGGGAGAAGGAGGAGGGAGAGGAGGAGGGAGCATCTGGGCGGCGGGCACGGATTGGCGGTAGTGGCGGGGGGCGGGGCCGTCTGGGGCTGGTCCTCCGGGCTGCGGGAGGAGGAGGAGGGGGAGGAGGAGGAGGAGGGAGGAGGGAGCGCCGGAGCCCGGGCCGCGGCGGCCGGCTTGGCCTGCCCTTTGTGCCCGCAGCCCGCGCCCCGCGCCGATGGCCGCCGCGCAGGGCTCCCCGGCGGTGCGCACCCGCCCGCAGACCTGACCCCGCGCGCCTGGGATGCGCCGGGAATGCGCGTCCTCCGGGCCTGCGGCTCCTCCCGGCTGGGCGCGGGGCGATGGACCTGAGCATGAGGAAGTTCACCGTGCGCAGGTTCTTCTCCGTGTACCTGCGCAAGAAGTCGCGCTCCAAGAGCTCCAGTCTAAGTCGACTCGAGGTAAATGCCGTCGCCTCTGTGCGCGCGGGTCCCCCGGTGCCCGCCGCGCCCCGGAGGATGCTGTGGGTCTCAGCGCCTCCCGAGCCCTTTCTATTGTCACAGGCACGGTACCCACAGACCCAGGTCAGGGAGTTAAAGTTCTCGCAGAGCCGGTCCGGTTCTTCTAAAACAGAACGCTACTGCTGGGACTTAGCACTAACTGGACCCGTCCTCCGGTTCTCGTCGGGGACCAAACTCTGCCCCTGTGGAATTTCTAACTAATTTGTTCCTGGGTCGGCTCAGGATGCGGAGCGGTCACCGTGCCCACATAGGTGCTCGGGGGAGGGAGGGCGTCTGGGTCCGCGCAGCCGGACCGCCGCCCCGTGGGGCAGCTCCGAAGTGCCCAGAACAGGACCTCCGCGGGCTCCCCCCGGGCCGTGGGTTGGGAGGGGATTGGGTTTATCTTACGGTGGCGCGCGGCCGGATCGTGCAGATGCTGGTGTATTTGAAATCCGTGGAGCATTGACTAACACACACACACACACACACACACACACATACACACACGTTAGAAGGTAACAACCCAGTGTAGTCGGGCCATCTGAATCCGGGCTCACAGCCAGGTGCCTGCCGTAATATCCCTGCAGCCCCGGGCTTCATAGAGATGCACTCTGAAACCCAGAGGACCCTGAGAATTATGTCCTTTCCCTTGTCCCTCATCTTGTCATCTTTGGGTTTCCAAAGTCATCTCTGGACAGTTCTCTGGTGTGGTTTTATTATTATTATTATTATTTATTTTAACAATGAGATCTTGTCCTCTTCATCCTGGTGTCCCAATTACATTGCTGAATCTATAGATGACCAAAGGATGGAACGTGTTTAAGTAAAGAGAGAGACATTGTGATGTTGGGGGGAGGGGCTGGCCGCTCAACCTGGCTTTTCCCCTTGACATTGCCCTGGGCTTTGCCACCACAGCTGGCACCTATCTGGGTTTTGACTTGTTTCTAAGGCAGTCCGATCAATTGGAACAATGTCACATTTTTCATCTTGCTTTTCTTTGTCCCGGCTGCCATGATATTCGATACAGGCATGGGTTGTTACGATTAGCAGATCTTTAAGCAAAGCTCAGGAATAGACATGAATGCAACAGGAATTACTTGTATAAAAAGTTTCTGTTATGGTATCACTAAGAGTTGGAGCCAGATAGGATCTTTGTAGCTGGTTTCTGAGCGTAAATCATATTTTTTAAACAAATACAATTGTTAATCAAATAAGGGAGGAGGGCTTGCCTCAAACCTCACATTGACAGAAATGAAACACGAGTTCAGTGAGATAAATCATTTTCCTGGCTCTCAGGCACTTTTTAAAAAGCTGAAGTTGGTAAGAACAGAAACTCAGAACAGTATTTACCTTTATGCCCAATAAGTTTTTATTCATTAAAATGCCAAGTTTATCATACAGCTCCTTGTCTCCTTTCATTTGTTGTCCTTGCCAAGGGGGGGCACACGGCTGAGCAAACTCCCGGTGCTGTTCAGGAAGACCGGCAGTAGTATCTACCCGGGCGGAATGGGTCGAGGGTCAGGAATCCAATATGCATGATATACTCACCTTCGGTGTTACGGTTCTGCAGGGAGAACCGGGTTTGGGAAGTGCCTCAGAAAAGAACATAATGGGAAACCGAGAAGGGACTAGAAATGGGGTTCCTTCAGTGTGAAAATAAAATGTCAAAAAACCATAAATACACCATCGGGTATGCAGAAGGTCAGTTGACTAGAGAGGAATGTTAGCTGTCAGCAAATAATCAATGAGCAGTTCGTACAACCTGGATGCCGGGTGCCGGATGGAAGTACTGATAACAATGGTCAGCTTGGATACAATGCTCTGGTCTCTACAAATGCATTCACCTGTCTCTTGTGAAAATTCAGGAAGGCATGTTTTACTGTCCTCCATTCTACAGCTGGGGGGACCCCCCCACCCAATAGAGGATTTTGCTGAAAGCTTATCAACAAATTCGTTCTGAAATTGCTTTAAAAAAAAAAAAACCTGCTATGTGTTGAGCCCTTTTCTTAGCACTGTAGATCCCCAAACCACAAGTCCTAGAAGTCCTGGCTGGCCTCATGGTACCTCCACCTAGTGGGGGATCTAGTAAGCGACTGACCTGTGTGTGCTTCACTCCAGCAAGCTCCATACTTCTCTCCAGCTGCCTCTCCATCTTTTTCCAGAGAAACCTGTTTATTCGCTTGCATACCCACAGCAGACTGTAGGCCAAGAAGCACTCATAAAAAAAATATAAAATTTTGGAGGGGAGGTCTGTCAATAGTTTGAGGTTGAGTAACGACATATAAAGTGCTTAGGGTGGATGTATATTTCCTCTGTACTGATGAAAAAGATTACTCATTTTGTAAAAAAAAAAAAAAAAGTAAACATTTTTTTCATTGTTTCTGTGTAATTTCTTTTGTAAAATATACACAGAGACTGCAAATTTTTGTTTTTTGGATTCAGAATCTAGTGACATAAACAGGAAAGTGACAGTAATTGCTTTAAGTTTAAAACACTATTATCGTTATTAAAATGGCCTTTGAGGAGAGACTTAACCTTGTAGTGTTTTCATATTTGCTTTTAAATTGGACTTTAGGTTTGTTGTTGTTTTTTTTTTTTTTTTTGGACTTTACTTTAATCCACAATCCAACATTTATAAAACCGACAAAGAAGCCAGAATACTGAATCAGATTTGGGAACAGTTTATGAATTACCGTTTAAATACTTTTATAGTGCCTCAGCATTGCACCAACCGAGGTGGCCAGATGACCGACTCTGGAGAGAATCATTTTTAGAGTTTCTACAGGGAAATTGGGTATGTTTCCTAGACTTCTCCGTGCACATCCGAGGAAGATACCAGGTTTCACCATCTGACCTTCACCCGGGTTTCAGGGCATTTGACAACACTGCCTGAGAGCCTCAGCAGGATCTGCATGGGAGGTACACCAGTTCCTGATTCAGTAGTCCATTTTGTAGATGAGGAAACGGAGCCTAGGGAAGCCAAAGGACTTGCTTATCCTCCTGCACCTAGAATGTTTTAAAGGAAGGTCTTGCTGTAAGAGCGTTGTGCCGTCTATTATTGGTTTTAGCCATTCTGGGGGGTGAGGTTTCTGGAGTGTCGTGTGTATTAGATGGAACTTGAAAGAAGGCTATTGGAATTAGTAAAATGAAATTGTTCCCAGGGGTGTTTTGGAACATGTTCCACAACCTCAAATTATTCTAGAGGACCTTTTTTGGGAGTCGGCAAGTTCCAGGTGAATCTGTGCTTTGTGTCGTGTTCACCTGAATTGGATTCCTTTCATGGCAGGTTGGCTGCTCCTTAACCCCTGTGCACCCCATTTCCCTCCAGTGTGAGTTGGGGTAGTACTTCCTGCCTAGGGTTAAAGTGATGCGTGTGAGCTGTCGTGTGGAAAGAACGTGGAGTCTGGACAGTGGCACTGCTAGTCAATAATTGTTAGCTATCGATTCTGATAGAAATCTTCCAGGCTTATTGATGTTTTCCATACTGTTCAGTGCCTTCTGTGCTGTGTGAACCTGGGATCGCCTCTGTGGGGTTCTGTCTTCATGAATCTCAGCCTGGTAATTAATAGTTTAGATGACCTCGCTGTGTACTTAGGGGCAGAAAAGGCCAGAGATCACTTCTCCCAGGCTTCCTTCCAAACTGTCATTCACTAGGATTGGCCCCATTTGCTAAGATGGAGTTCCTGTCGTCTGACTGGGATGGCGATATTCCACTTCCTTATCCTACCAATCGCTCTGTGAGTCAGCCCTACCCATCCATGAATGCATTACTAAAGCAGGCCCCAAGGCCATGGCATCATGCTCTAAGGTGGCTTCTCGAGTCAGGAAATGCCCCAGCACCAGCATCCCAAGTTAGGGAGCTTTGGGAAGTCATCCTCCCTGGCTCAGCCTTCAGTTCCCCAGGAGAGACTCCAGAGGTTTGCCGTCCAAGCTCCAAAGCCTGGCTCGGTTGGGAGGGCTTGGCTTAGAAGGGCTTGGCATGGGGGGTGGGGGGGAGGAAATAGTTATTAAGTTAATAAAAATTGATATTATTTACTCAGTATGATTTATCTACCAGTTTGTTAAAGGTACCAATGCTCAGAGACTGTTGGTTTCAGGAACAGTTGTTTTGTTTGGAGTCACCAAAGCCAGGGAGTTGGTTCTCTTTGATTATGTATCATTTTTGACATTTTTACTGAAAGAAAATTGAGGGTGAGTGAGAAGGACAAAAGGCAAAGCCCTTTAGCCGGGATATGGTTCGTGGTAAGCTGTTGAGGGGAAGAATTTCATTTATTTATGTATTTGCTCAATTGTTTGCATGAAGAATTTTTAGTGTAGACCATGTACACTCTGCTAAGCAGCTGGTAGGTAGGATGAGATCTTTATGTGGTCTCTGCCCTCGGTGAGCTTAACATCTAGTGAGAGAGGCAGACCTGGGAATGGAAGCCTACTGTGTGAAATTTCTGGCATCCTTGGTTTAAACAATCTAATTATATCGATTGTCAGTTTCTATTTCCTGGGCAGCCCGGGTGGCTCAGCGGTTTAGTGCCACCTTCGGCCCAGGGCGCGATCCTGGAGACCTAGGATCGAGTCCCACGTTGGGTTCCCTGCATGGAGCCTGCTTCTCCCTCTGCCTATGTCTCTGCCTCTCTCTCTGTGTGTGTGTGTGTCTCATAAATAAATAAATAAAATCTTAAAAAAATTTTTCTATTTCCCATGGTCGCAGGTAACCAAATGTTGTCTGTGTGTGCATTTGAATATATTTTAATTGCTTACCCCTTTTAAAGGGAAGCATGACCAGGGCCTGATGCTGGAGACCCGGGATCAAGTCCCACGTGGGCTCTCTGCATGGAGCCTGCTTCTCCCTCTGCCTGTGTCTCTGCCTCTCTCTCTCTCTCTCTCTCTCTCTCTCTCTCTCTCTCTCTCCCCCTCTCTGTGTCTCTCATGAATAAATAAATAAAATCTTTAAAAAAATAAAAAAA